AAAAGTCCTAGTTGAGTTGTTCGTAAGGGTAGAAAATGGGATTTTCACTCTCACCTCCACTCTCACTCTCTCACTTACACTCTCTATAACTTGGCTATCGTTTCAAGTAGGAAGAAGTGGTTTGCATCATTAAATTCCTCTTTAAATTCTCTACAAACTGGTTTTTTAAGTCACATTTGAGTTGTTCGTAAGGGTAGAAAATGGGATGTTCACTCTCACTCCACTCTCACTCTCTACTTACACACCTCTCTATAACTTGGCTATCGTTTCAACTAGGAAGAAGTGGTTTGTATCATTAAATTCCTCTTTAAATTTTCTACAAACTGGTTTTTTAAAAGTCACAGTTGAGTTGTTCGTAAGGGTAGAAAATGGGATTTTCACTCTCTCTCTAATTACACTCTCTATAACTTGGCTATCGTTTCAACTAGGAAAAAGTGGTCTGCATCATTAAATTCGTCTTTAAATTCTCTACAAACTGGTTTTTTAAAAGTCCTAGTTGAGTTGTTCGTAAGGGTAGAAAATGGGATTTTCACTCTCACTCCACTCTCACTATCTCACTATCTCACTTACACTCTCTATAACTTGGCTATCGTTTCAACTAGGAAGAAGTGGTTTGCATCATTAAATTCCTCTTTAAATTCTCTACAAACTGGTTTTTTAAAAGTCACAGTTGAGTTGTTCGTAAGGGTAGAAAATGGGATTTTCACTCTCACTCCACTCTCACTCTCACTTACACTCTCTATAACTTGGCTATCGTTTCAAGTAGGAAGAAGTGGTTTGCATCATTTAAATTCCTCTTTAAATTCTCTACAAACTGGTTTTTTAAGTCACAGTTGAGTTGTTTCGTAAGGGTAGAAAATGGGATTTTCACTCTCACTCCACTCTCACTCTCTACTTACACTCTCTATAACTTGGCTATCGTTTCAACTAGGAAGAAAGTGGTTTGCATCATTAAATTCCTCTTTAAATTTTCTACAAACTGGTTTTTTAAAAGGTCACAGTTGAGTTGTTCGTAAGGGCAGAAAATGGGGATTTTCACTCTCACTCTCTACTTACACTCTCTATAACTTGGCTATCGTTTCAACTAGGAAAAAGTGGTCTGCATCATTAAATTCGTCTTTAAATTCTCTACAAACTGGTTTTTTAAAAGTCCTAGTTGAGTTGTTCGTAAGGGTAGAAAAATGGGGGATTTTCACTCTCACTCTCTCACTTACACTCTCTATAAACTTGGCTATCGTTTTCAAGTAGGAAGAAGTGGTTTGCATCATTAAATTCCTCTTTAAATTCTCTACAAACTGGTTTTTTAAGTCACATTTGAGTTGTTCGTAAGGGTAGAAAATGGGATTTTCACTCTCACTCCACTCCTCTCACTTACACTCTCTATAACTTGGCTATCGTTTCAAGTAGGAAGAAGTGGTTTGCATCATTAAATTCCTCTTTAAATTCTCTACAAACTGGTTTTTTTAAGTCACAGTTGAGTTGTTCGTAAGGGTAGAAAATGGGATTTTCACTCTCACTCCACTCTCACTCTCTACTTACACTCTCTATAACTTGGCTATCGTTTCAACTAGGAAGAAGTGGTTTGTATCATTAAATTCCTCTTTAAATTTTCCCTACAAACTGGTTTTTTAAAAGTCACAGTTGAGTTGTTCGTAAGGGTAGAAAATGGGATTTTCACTCTCTCTCTACTTACACTCTCTATAACTTGGCTATCGTTTCAACTAGGAAAAAGTGGTCTGCATCATTAAATTCGTCTTTAAATTCTCTACAAACTGGTTTTTTAAAAGTCCTAGGTTGAGTTGTTCGTAAGGGTAGAAAATGGGATTTTCACTCTCACTCCACTCTCACTATCTCACTTACACTCTCTATAAACTTGGCTATCGTTTCAACTAGGAAGAAGTGGTTTGCATCATTAAATTCCTCTTTAAATTCTCTACAAACTGGTTTTTTAAAAGTCACAGTTGAGTTGTTCGTAAGGGTAGAAAATGGGATTTTCACTCTCACTCCACTCTCACTCTCTCACTTACACTCTCTATAACTTGGCTATCGTTTCAACTAGGAAGAAGTGGTTTGCATCATTAAATTCCTCTTTAAATTCTCTACAAACTGGTTTTTTAAGTCACAGTTGAGTTGTTCGTAAGGGTAGAAAATGGGATTTTCACTCTCACTCCCACTCTCACTCTCTACTTTACACTCTCTATAACTTGGGCTATCGTTTCAACTAGGAAGAAGTGGTTTGCATCATTAAATTCCTCTTTAAAATTCTCTACAAACTGGTTTTTTTAAAAGTCACAGTTGAGTTGTTCGTAAGGGTAGAAAATGGGATTTTCACTCTCACTCCACTCTCACTCTCTACTTACACTCTCTATAACTTGGCTATCGTTTCAACTAGGAAGAAGTGGTTTGCATCATTAAATTCCTCTTTAAATTCTCTACAAACTGGTTTTTTTTAAAAGTCACAGTTGAGTTGTTCGTAAGGGTAGAAAATGGGATTTTCACTCTCACCTCCACTCTCACTATCTCACTTACACTCTCTATAACTTGGCTATCGTTTCAAGTAGGAAGAAGTGGTTTGCATCATTAAATTCCCTCTTTAAATTCTCTACAAACTGGTTTTTTAAAAGTCACAGTTGAGTTGTTCCGTAAGGGTAGAAAATGGGATTTTCACTCTCACTCCACTCTCACTCTCTCACTTACACTCTCTATAACTTGGCTATCGTTTCAAGTAGGAAGAAGTGGTTTGCATCATTAAATTCCTCTTTAAATTCTCTACAAACTGGTTTTTTAAGTCACAGTTGAGTTGTTCGTAAGGGTAGAGAAATGGGAATTTTCACTCTCACTCCACTCTCACTCTCTACTTACACTCTCTATAACTTGGCTATCGTTTCAACTAGGAAGAAGTGGTTTGCATCATTAAATTCCTCTTTAAATTCTCTACAAACTGGTTTTTTTAAAAGTCACAGTTGAGTTGTTCGTAAGGGTAGAAAATGGGATTTTCACTCTCACTCCACTCTCACTCTCTCACTTACACTCTCTATAACTTGGCTATCGTTTCAACTAGGAAGAAGTGGTTTGCATCATTTAAATTCCTCTTTAAATTTTCTACAAACTGGTTTTTTAAAAGTCACAGTTGAGTTGTTCGTAAGGGCAGAAAATGGGATTTTCACTCTCACTCTCTACTTACACTCTCTATAACTTGGCTATCGTTTCAACTAGGAAAAAAGTGGTCTGCCATCATTAAATTCGTCTTTAAATTCTCTACAAACTGGTTTTTTAAAAGTCCTAGGTTGAGTTGTTCGTAAGGGTAGAAAATGGGATTTTCACTCTCACTCCACTCTCACTTACACTCTCTATAACTTGGCTATCGTTTCAAGTAGGAAGAAGTGGTTTGCATCATTAAATTCCTCTTTAAATTCTCTACAAACTGGTTTTTTAAGTCACATTTGAGTTGTTCGTAAGGGTAGAAAATGGGATGTTCACTCTCACTCCACTCTCACTCTCTACTTACACTCTCTATAACTTGGCTATCGTTTCAACTAGGAAAGAAGTGGTTTGTATCATTAAATTCCTCTTTAAATTTTCTACAAACTGGTTTTTTAAAAGTCACAGTTGAGTTGTTCGTAAGGGTAGAAAATGGGATTTTCACTCTCACTCCACTCTCACTCTCTCACTTACACTCTCTATAACTTGGCTATCGTTTCAACTAGGAAGAAGTGGTTTGCATCATTAAATTCCTCTTTAAATTCTCTACAAACTGGTTTTTTAAGTCACAGTTGAGTTGTTCGTAAGGGTAGAAAATGGGATTTTCACTCTCACTCCACTCTCACTCTCTACTTACACTCTCTATAACTTGGCTATCGTTTCAACTAGGAAGAAGTGGTTTGCATCATTAAATTCCTCTTTAAATTCTCTACAAACTGGTTTTTTTTAAAAGTCACAGTTGAGTTGTTCGTAAAGGTAGAAAATGGGATTTTCACTCTCACTCCACTCTCTGGAAATCGAAATTGGCGACCCAAAACCATCAGGGTTAACAGTGGTATGATAGCATTGGTTGGTAGCTTTTCTATAATAAGCAAAGATTTATTATTGAAATTAAGAAAGCGATACCTTCCAAAAAGGTCTATTTGATTGGACAATAGTTGCTCCTGTTGGATTAGTATCTAAATCTGAATTAAGATCAGTTGAAGGTGAATCGATTTTTAATTGTAATAAACGTTTCTCTAATTCGTCAAAAGTAAAATCTGCCATAAATTGTACTTAACAATAAAAGAGTAACTATCATTATTTAATAATAATAACACCACTGGATCTGCAATGTTGTCTTCACCAGTCTGTATTTCTTGTAGATTTGGGCGATGTGTGTCCCAAGTCTTAAAGTCTTCTAAACCACCTTCACAATTAATCACCAACAGTTTGTAAAATTATTTAACAACAGTTTTTTGTTTTAATGGAAAGTTCGTAATTCGGCTAATCGGTAACACGAAAAATCCTACTGACTGCGCCAGAAATGAAATCTCGAACCGAAAATGATTTTTTTTAAAACTTTTATTTTACTTAAATACAATAATTATAGATGTTAATGGCTTGAATATTAACTAGGAACTAACTTTTAACTGAAAAAAACTACTTTTATCTAAACAACTATTTTGAAAACTGCAAAATCGTATCTTCTATATATTCTATAGTATGGGTGATATAACTCATGGCACATATTATAAAAATTTCTCAGACTATATTTAAAGTCATAACAGCATTATTTCTTATGCAGAATGAATAAGTGACCAGATACCTACTCCAAGGAGTAAAAGGCAAAACTTTTAATTAAATACAATTTTTGTAACTTGGAATAATTTATCACCATGTATTATCAACACTGAGTACATCAACCTTTTCAAAAAAAGACTTGTTTGTAATGTTGTTGTATAATTAGGACTTTTCCTATTTGTAATAATAAAAATTGGTTCAATCATAATAAAGAAACGAAAAATTGTTTAATTTACCTCTTCCTCTCTTTGTCTAAGTTCCATTTGAACTTCCTCTAATTCTTCACGTCCCTCATCTTTCTTCATATGATATCCTTCCCACAACATTTTTAATCCAAATATGGCGAATAGTGCGGTACTTATGTAATAAGTGTAAGCCCTAGGTATCACAGTGACGAGCCATCCAAAAAGAGCTGTAATCAACATCACCTATTTACAATAATTTATTAATATGCAATTTTTGGAAATGTTAAAATATAATCCCCAATTTCCCATACAAATTTAAGAAAATAAACCAAAAAAATATTTAAAAAGCTGAGAAATATTGAGAAGAAAAAATTAATGCTTCGACCAGGGATTGCATTGTTTCAAACAAAAAAAAACAGTAGGTATAATAAAAAAAGTTAATATACTTAAATATTGACTAAATGACATATTACCTGATAATATTGTCATCACTATTAATGCAGATATGGCACCTGCAAATACTGTTAATCTTGGATGTCTCATTGCCATTATTGCAGCTATAAAAAATGTCTTATCTCCTATTTCAGATACAAGTATTACACTAAGAGAAGCCACAAAGGCATGTACGAATCCTACATTTCGTGTATTTGGGGTGCTGCCTGGTGCAGCAACAGTTCCTGTCTAAAAAAAAAAAGTACAATTATTAGATACGGTTCCAACAATGATCAGAAACCGGTCATTGACACCAGGAACATCATATATACTGTGAATTATAAGCAGTGATTTGTTTCTGATCATTGTTGGAACAGAACTATAAAAAACCTGTGATGTGTTACATTACAGATCATCAGAATAAGCCTGTCACTTGATTATTTGTATTTAATTATTTATTAAGTATTTAGGATTTGATTATTTTACGATACAAAATCAGGTGATTTTTTTTATGTGGCAAATTTCAGATGAAAGAACTCAATTACTTACATACACAATTTCTATTTAAAGAAAGTCAATAGCATTAAAAAAGACAAAGTTTACATTCATAATATGTAGGAACTCAAATAGAATTTTATTGATACATTATAATTTGATTTATAATTTTAAAGTAGTAAAACAGAAAAAATTATCTCTAAATAATTCTGCCAACAAGTTCTGATAGTTAATTATTATGAATGGATGGTGATGTCGATTATTATTCAAAATATAATACACCTACATTTATTTCAAAATAATAAACGAAAAAGAAAAATATCATTTATGTATTTACTTTATATCTGCACGAATTCCGTATGGACTTAACTTTATTGTTATTTTAATTCCTATAAAATATTTTCATAATTATATAATTTACAATTATTTACCAAAGTTGGTTTGAGTTCATCGTCTTCTTTGGGCTCGTTTTCTGCTAAAATTATAGCGATATTTGCTAAAATGAGTACACATATTAAGAATAAGTTCCTAAAAGTTCGTTCCATAGTAATAAAATCACGAACAAAATCTTAAGTGCTTGACAGGACTGGATATAATCTACTAAGTATTCTATTTACAACATCAGATTACGCGTATATTTAAGATAAAAATATGTTTATTATACATATGGATATATGCATTAGAAATATAAACTATATTTATTTTTAAAACGTATACTATTTACTTATATTTACTTTTACTGTACAAAATTGTCAAATGTCATTATGTGACATACTGTACTGTCAATATTTAAGCTACGTTCGTTTAGTAGTTCCGTTTACACTTTCGGACATTTTTTACTCAAATCGATAGAGTTATATAGATTGCTCACCTATATGTAAAGAGGACAAAAAGCGGCTCGCAGCCATATTGTCCTCACTGATCAGAATCGGTTCGGCTCAAATTAAATGTCACCTTTAAATACAGTAAAAATATAGTTTAAAAAAACTAAAAAACACGCTTTTAGAGCATATCAAACTAAAAAGTTAAAAATAATATTCGAGAAATTTGACAAAATGTAAAAAAATATTTTTTTATAAAAATTGTTCAAACAAAAGTTGTTTGTAATATAATTCTCTATAATTTTTAACCTATACATAATTTCTCTAAAATGGACCGTATTCGAGATATTTGAGAAATTGTGTAAATTTCGAAATTTGAAGAAAATTCAAAAACGGATAAAGAAAAAACATTAAATTTTAATCTTAAGTTTTATTTCAGCCTGACGTGAAATGATTAGATTTTGGACAGAGTCGGAACATCTGAGGGGGTACTTTATGGGGGGCCGTTTTTATATTTTATGGAATATATCTGTTATTTATGTTTGGAGAAGAAAATTGTTCAAATAAAAGTTATTTCTAATATTATTATCTATAATTTTTGTTTTATGTCAAAATTTCCTGAAATGATTCGTATTCGAGAAATTTGATAAAATGTGCAAAATTCTGATTTTCATGAAAATTGTTGAAATAAAAGTTGTTTGCGATATCGATCTCTATAATTTTTGTTTTTACATGATTTTTCTAAAATGGACCGTAATGGAAAAATTGTAGGAAAAGTGCTAAATTAAAATTTTTCAGTATTTTCATTTTCAATGAATATCTATAGAAAAATGTCTCTAGGTAGATGTATGTGGAAAATGTATATATTTATTTTATCCTCTAAACATTTATGGAGGTGCTGCAATAGATTGTACAAAATAACCAGAAAAAGCCTGTAATAACTAGATAGGAAAGTCATGTCTTTAAGAGGTCTGGTGTTTCCTGAAAGACGTATTTAATACGTCTTAGAAGACGTCTAATGTTACAAAAGGGGACATCTTTAAGATGTCTTATTAATGGCTTATAATGGGTTTTAGAGCTTTTGATAAAACATCTTTAAGATACCTGATTAATGGCTTATATTGGTCTTTAGAGCCTTAAATAAGACGTCTTTATGATATAATAGTTTTTAGAGCCTTAAATAAGACATCTTTAAAATATCTGATTAATGACTTATATTGGTCTTTAGAGCTTTAAATAAGACACCTTTATGTTATCTGAGGACTTATAATAGTTTTTAGAGCCTTAAATAAGACATTTTTATAATATCTGATTAATGGCTTATAATGGCCTTTAGAGTCTTAAATAAGACGTCTTATTAATGACTTACTTATGGTCTTTAGAGCCTTAAATAAGACGTCTTTAGGATGTCTTATTAATGACATGGTCTTTAGAGACACAAAAAGAAATTGTTAATCAATATCTTGAAAACACTAACCTAAATATTTTTACATTATAAATCTTTATTTTACTATTTACAAATGTCTACATTTTACTTCTACTCATTTATAATTGATGAAGAAAATATAATATTATCTATTTCATCGGATTTTCTCGTTGCCGATTGAATCTCGGTTCGGCCGCCATCCGTCATAGTAGATGTTTAGAGGTTTGTCATTTACAGAGTGCGAGTCAGATATCGGCTCCTTACCTTGTCCCGAAATATGGCCGACTTAATATCGGTGAACCTTGTAGGTTTCCGTCCGCCTGGGAGACGTTTTTCAGACGTCTTAAAGACATCTTTGAGCTTTACATTATAATGTTTGACGTCTTATAAGACGTCTTAATAACGGCCTAGGACATTGAGACTAAACCAAGACGCAAATAAGATGTCTTTCAGACATCGTGTGCTATTTGAATCAGGGGTGGTCCCATATAAATTTGGTCAAAATCTAATAATTAGGGCCATGTGAAAATCCTCACTTTTCATTTTTTATGTATGTTCAACGATAATTCTTTACCACCTTGTCCGATTACTATGATTCTTTTTTTGTTAATAAGGGAGTATGTCAGGGGTGGTCTCATATAAATTTGGTTAAGATGTGGTGATGGCATCTGCAGGTTTTTTAAGTGTGACGACGGTTTCTAAAAGGACATTTTAAGGCTTAAAAAGTCATAAGGACAATTTGTTTAAAAAAGGGACTGTCCTTTTCAAAAAAGGACAGGTGGCAACCCTAACCGTTCTATATATTTTCCTGTAGATTAAAATACGATAGCTCAAATTGGAGTAACATTTTTGTTAGTTTTTTAAAGGTTTGAATTATGATTTTACTATTCCAGTCTCCATATATTAAGAGTAAATAAAAATATAGAGCCCAATATTACCATTTATAATTATTATTATTGTTTAAACACCGATATAATTGGCAAGTTTGGCAATTGGAAATAAGAATACAAACAAAAGAAATATCTAATTAAAATTTTTTGTACCACCCTCGTATTTTCATCGATTAACAAATAAATACTCATTTTTATGAGACTAATACAATTATCTTCATAAACTTTTATTACTTATGGATGGATTATTAACAAAATTAGTAACTTCTGCTTCTTTAAAAATATTACTGCTTTCTTTTAACTATTATTTTAACACATACATCGAAATTAAAAAGCGCATGCCCTTACGACTTCCTTATCGATTGTGGAAAATATTCGCATTAGTCACGTGCAGCGAAAGCAAAAGGGTGAAAATATAGCTTTTCACCATGATAGAAATAATATTGTGTTTTTATAACCAATCGGAGTATTCTAAATAGGTTTGCATGCATACAAAGTAATTATGGCTTATTCCAATAGTATACTGAAAACACCAACAGTGCTAGAACAATTACTTGAAGAAATAAATTTTCAAAGAACAAAAGAAATGAGACAACTTTTAAAAGATGGTAAGTTGTTATTCTAGTAAATACAAATAAAATAATATGTAATTAATTATTAATTGTGGCAGAGGAAACTAAAATATATCCAGTTTTAGTTGTTTTATATTATAAACCTGCAATTTGCGATAAATTGTAATCTTATCAAATAAAAATCATCTTTTAATTAGAGTATAAATAGAGTTTGCATATTATATATAGAAGCAAAATTACAATTTCGTACAAATAAAGAATTATGTGTTTTTAAATTTACCAATTTTATATCATGTCTGTGATGTATGTGAAACAAAAAAAGATGGCACCACCAAAGAGAAGTAAAATAACAATAAATAGCAGTCAAAGTGAAAAATTAAAGGGATTTTGTAAGGATGATTATTTAAATAGTATGTTTTCAGGCCCGCGCCTAGCACTTGGCGCTTTTGTGCAAATTTAAAATAACGCCCATATTTGTATTACGTTCATATGTGAGTACAAATACGGATTACGTTAGGTATTATTATCTACTATTAAAAAATAATTTTAAAAAGTATTTTCATTTATACATACAAGTATTTTCTCATTCAGGTACATAACACAATTATAAACTCAGTGGCGGCTTGTCCTAAGAGGCCAAAGGGCCTTGGCACTGGCGCAAAATTTATAAATATTTCGGTCTCTAAAAATGTTTCTTTTTATATTAATTACAATAATTATTACAATTGTCGAATCAAATTTGAAGAAGTTATCAGTAGTACACACACAGGTTTTTAAAAATTGCTGCAGTTAAAGTTAAAATATTAGTGAAATTTGACATCAGAAAATTATGAAAAGTTGCAGAACGCAGTATAAAAGTGTAATAAACAGCCTCATTTGGTAAGCACTGCAAAATTTTACTTAGAACTAATATATTTCATCAAAATCAGTTGCACCGAAAATTAATATCGAAAATATTTGAATCTTTTTTGTGGCTAATCTTATCTGGTAGAATTCCAGACTTGTTTTAATACTACATACAGTAGCGTAGGCATTAAATTATTGAACGGTGTTCTGGTCTTTATAAGATAAACAAAGAAAATTATAAAAGAATCGTTGAAAGAAGTAATAGATGAAGTCCAAAACTGTAAAAGAGATCTAAAAACTTGCATAAACTCTAGTGAAACGCGACTTTTAAAGAAGTTGGAAGAAAGCAATCATAGAATAACATTGTTAGAAACTGAAAATACGGAACTAAAAGAAAAGTTAGAATATTTAGATAGGGAAAATCGTTCAAAAAGTTTAATTATCTTCGGTTTAAATAAATCTTACAAAGATATTACGTTGAAGTTCATAACTGAAAAAATTGATCACCTGTTAGGGGTTAAGTTGAAGGAAGATCAAATCAGTAATTTCTTTGCACTAGGAAAAACAAATTCTGCTCCTCTAAAAATAGAACTAACATCTGCTATTAAAAAAAAGGAAATTATACAGAACAAAAAAAATTGAGAGGGACAGGATTCTCTATATCTGAAGATTTAACGCTTAATCAGCGAGAACATTATAAACAACTGAAAGAAAATCTTGTAGAAATAAAACAAAGTGGAAAGTATAAAAATTCCTATATTAAGGGAATTCATCTCGTATTAGATGGTAAAAAGCATACGCTTGAAGATCTTTCAGATATTGAAAGCAAATCTGAAGAGAGTACTCCAACATCACCAAGTGCAGAGCAAACTGGTTCTCCTCCCATCATCACTTCTATCGTATCAAAAAATCAAGCCCAAAACACATTGCTGAATACCAATAAAAATTCGAAAACCAAAAATCAAACTAACGCAATCACTGGAAGGATAACAAGGTTTGGTTCAAGCTCAAACACTCTTATTAACTCTTAAATTTTACATTTTAAATATTTTTTTCTGTAATTTGTATTTTTATAATGTGTAATTTGTCATTGTTTTAGTCATATTAAATAATATTGGTTTTAATTTAAAATTATATATATATATATATATATATATATATATATATATATATATATATATATATATATATATATATATATATATATATATATATAAATTATTATATTTGATATGGATCCTTATCTAAGAGACATTAACTATGAGCCATTTGAAACAGAAGAGCTTAAGAATGTGCAGGAAATTAATAAGTTACATCAAGAACTCAATCCAAAAAAGTTTAAACTTTTTCACCAAAACATTTGTAGTCTAAATAAAAATCCGGATAACCTTAAAATATTTCTATCGCAACTCAGTTTCAGTTTTGACTGTATCGTTCTCACAGAAGCATTTTATATTTCCGATATCGATATATTTAAATTGATTGATTATGATATAGTTTATAACGAGGGTGATGGAGTAATAATATATATTAAAAAAACGTTAATACATATACATCTGAAATAATCCAAATAGGACCTTGTAAAGCCATACAAGCCACAATAAATATAAATAATTCAAATAAAATATTAATAACATCATTATATAAACCTCCACCTGTAAGAGAAGAAGAGTTCGTAGATCACCTTTGTACATATCTGGAAGAAACAAATAGAAACTTAAATATTAACAGACATATTTTTGTAGGCGATATTAATATAAATATCAAAAAAAATTCAGATTTGGTATCAAATTACTTAGATAATTTTGCGGAATTCAACTTTGTATCACTAATTAATAAATATACTCGAATGCAGGGTAATTCAAAAAGTTGTATAGACCACATATTTTTTCAAACAAATAATTACAACGATATTAAGAATTGTAGAGCGGTTATTTATGATACTAGAATTACCGATCATCGAGCTACATTTGCATATTTTCCTTTATACACGGAAAAAATAGAGAAACATAAAATTTTAAAGCGTATTAATTATAAACAATTAAATTTAGATTGTAAAAACTTTGATTGGTCATTGTTTTATAACTTAACTGATATAAATGCAAAATGTAACTATTTTTCAGAAACTATTGATGAACTTATTCAGAAAAATTCCTACATAATTAATAAAAAAACAGTTTTTAAAAAAACGAAAAGAATGGATAACTCAAGGTATAGTAAATTCAATCAGTGAAAGAAATAGGCTACATAAGGAACATAAAGATGATTTTGAAAACCTATCAAAAAAATTAAGATATATAGAATATAAAACCTTGACCAATCAACTAATAAAAAAATCTAAAAAATATTACTACACAAAAAAAATTGAAGAAAACCAATTTAGTTCAAAGGGATTGTGGAACGTAATAAATCAGTTACAGGGAAAGAATTCCAATGAATAAAAAGAAATAACAGAAATACAAACACAAAAAAAGAAAATTGAAACAAAACCAGAAAAAATAGCTGAAGAGTAATGATTATTTTTCAGAGGTGGGTAAAAACCTAGTAGAACAAATCGTGACTCCAAATACACCTTTTCCTGTTCAAAATATTACGCAAAACTAATTTTTTTTTGAGACCCACAACAGAGGAAGAAATAAAAAAATATATTAAATCCTCAAAAAATAAAAAATCCCCAGGTTTCGATGGGGTGCAAGCAGAAACAGTAAAAGAAATATTACCAGGTATATTACCGGTGTTAACGCACTTAATCAACCGGATTTTTATCGAAGGTCATATCCCTGCACAGAAAAAAAATTGTAGAAAAAATTTCTACAATTGTAGATTTTTTCTCTACAATAAATAGTACATATAAGGACAGGGACAATTTGTAGTAAAAATTTCCAAATATTTGTGGAGAATGTATTGTAGAGTTATTATCTACAATATTTAGTACAAAGTTCCAAATGCATCTAAGAATTGTTCTACAAATTGTTATAATTAAAAATGTATTGCGTTTTATGAAAATAAATACGAAAATTTTACACAATAAATAGTAAAAATTCATACAAATTGTAGTAATTTTTAATAAAATTTGTAGTAGTATTCCATAATTATTATAATTATAACCTAGAAAAAAATGTTCCTTAATAAAATATTCAATTTATTGTTTTAATATAAAAGATACAAATTCTTAATTACATTATGTAATACATAACAGTAATAATAGCGCCCTCAGTCTCAGTTGGCTTTTCTGCACCTGAAAAATATGAAATAAAAATTAATACCAATTGAATTGTTAATATCCTTAAAACGGGGATATTTATCACCTTTACACTGATTTCGATATTAAATGACTAAGTCAGATAACTAACAAAAATGAGAAAGTAGGTATGTCACAATTAGGACAAAAAAACATCTTTGAACTTGGCACAAAATTCGATCGTTGGGCACAACATTCGATCGTTGGCCACAACTATTTTTTTAAAATAATCTACTAAGGTTATTTAAATTAGTTATCTAATGGTAAATTATTCAGGAACAATAATAAATGTACTTACCACCAATAGAATTTATTATTAAAATTTTCTCAAACGCATCGGTGCTTATAATTTAGTAATGTGTTATAGGTACTCGTATATATACCATGCTTTGTTATGTGAACATGGCGAACGGCTACTGCTGTCTGGCCGTTTATGATCGACGTCAGAAAACGTTGGCCAATAGCAGAATTCTGTTTTGTTCACATGACTTAGAATTTCTACAATATTATAGAATATTTTTGAATACGGGATGTAAAGTATTACTATTTTTTGTAGAGAAAATTACTATTTTTTGTAGAGATAATTATTAATATTTGTACAAATTTTTACAGAAGTTAGTAGTAGTAATTACGATAATTGTAATAAATTTCTACTTCTACAAACAATAGTAAAATATACTAAACATTGTGGACTTCTTTCCTATTGTTGTAGCATTTTTTTCGACAATTCAATTGCTACAATAATTAATAGTTTTTAACTATAAATTGTAGTAAAATTTTCTACAAATTGTTAGTTATTTTTCTACAAGTCTACTACTACAACATTGTAGTAAAATTTTCTAGTGCACATTTTTTTCCGTGTGATAATTTAAAAAAAACGATAGTTGTTCCAATTCATAAAAATGGTGACAAAAAAAACGTAGCAAATTATCGCCCGATCTCGTTAATAACATTTACAAAAATTTTCGAAAAAACTCTAAATAGTAGATTAATGGAGTATTTAAATAAATATAAAATAATTTCTAAAAATCAGTATGGCTTCCGTGAAGACTTATCTACCAATGATGTTATTGCTAAATTAACAAGCGAACTTTATAAATCTGTTGATTCTAAAAAGCCAACACTTTGTGTATTCTTAGACCTTGCCAAGGCCTTTGACACTGTGGATCATACACAATTGTTAACGGTCTTGGAAAACAGAGGGGTTCGTGGTACTCCCCTGAAACTTTTTAAAAATTATTTATCAGGCAGAGAGCAAATTGTTAAAATTGGAACAGCGTATAGCAATTCTAGAACTTTAACCTACGGTGTACCCCAAGAAACCGTATTAGGACCATCCTTTTTTTCGCTATATCTAAATGATTTATTCAATGTACAAAGTAATGGTCACATAATTAGTTTTGCAGATGATACGGCCATATTATATGAAGCTGAAAATTGGGATGATCTAAAACAAAAAACTGAATATGGCCTTGCAAAAATAATTGAATGGTTTAGTCATAGGTATCTGACCATTAATTTTTCAAAAACTTTTTTTATGCCCTTTACTAGTTATGAAAATAATCTCCCTGTCTACGATGTCATAAATATAAACTCTAATTACCAACAAATATCAATACATATTACTGGCAGCATGAAGTATCTAGGCATCACACTGGATTGTCACCTGTGATGTGATAAGCACATTAATAATGTAACAAATAATCTAAAAACACTTTTATTTAAATTTAATTACCTGAAAAAACTGTTAAATATATCTCATCTCAGACTATTATACTATACCTTAGTTCAAAGTCGCATTCAATATGCCATCTTATCGTGGGGCGCTACAACAAAGAATCACACAAACAAATTAGAAATACTACAAAAGGGGCGGAGGTAATTTGCCCACAAAATATTTAAAGCTGCTAATCCTATAGGTAATTTGCCCACAGCAAGTAAAAGGTCATCTTAATCCTGTTGGTATTTTGCCCAAATTTATTTCTAACTGAATAAATCATTTATTATTTTTTATATATTATCGAAAAGTAAAAACACATTATTAATTAAACTAAAAATTATATTAAACACTAATTTTTATTATTATAAAAAAGTAAGTATACATAAGTTATATTATATTTTTTATATATTTATATTTTATTTACATATTTTTCAACTGGGAGGGATAAATGTGATACAAATTTTATATACTCTAATCTGCTGATTTGCTGCAGATCAAATCGCTGTATAAATTTTTCTAAACACTGAATTTTTTGTTTTACACTTTTGTCTTTGATTTTCTTAGGTATACTTAAGTTTTGTATTGTGACATACGTGTCGATTTGAAAGTCTTTAAGCTTTTCTATAAAAATATATACAGAAGGATGTGTACAGTAGAATGAAGAATTAAACCTTGAATGAAACGACTCACAGGCATTTGTAGTTCTTGTAATTGAAGCTGTTTTTTCTGCCCATATACTTGGAGGAAATGTAGAATTTTCTTCAATATATGTTTCTAATAGGTAATCGGCATACCTATCGAGAACGGCATTTTCTGGTTTACTTGCCATTAAGTCAAACACAAAACAGTCTCCAACTTCATCGGCGTTTAAATATGTCAACCCAAATGATGTTTTAAGCCATTTTCCGGTATCACTGTTAGTTGTATATTCAGTCATTAATCCCAGAGACTGAATTTTACGATACCACGCTTGATGTAGATGAAATCGGCAGCCATTGATTACAGTATTAGGCCACATATAAATTAACGCCTT